GCTCGCGAGGCTCTTGGTGAACTGAAGTCCGTCCAGGTGTCAGCAGCTTCTTGTCTCTGTTGTAGAAAACACTCCCTCCAGTGAGGAACAGGGACTACAGAGCCAAGAAAAGGGAGAAAAAGAAGAAGAAGGAGGAGGAGGTTACTGGAGATGGTGACACAAAAACAGAGGAGGCCAAACAGGCTTCGAGAATAAAATCATCCGACTATCAATCCTGGGACAAGTTTGATGTGGTATTTTTAAAAGCCTATAAAACACACTTGGCTTTAGAAGTAAAACTTGTATGCAATCTGCTACAACTTTTATTTAATTTGTTTGATTTGTTGTGGCAGGAAAAGGTTCTGGAAGAAATGGATAAGGAGGAAGATTGTCCTGCAGAGTCCAACGAGTCAGACTCGGAGGAAGCTGCAGTAGATCCAGAGAAAGCGCTGGCCGAGAAGGAAAAGGTGGATATTATATGTGAGGCATTAAAAAAAGGAAAAATAGATGTAGTACTGTACAGGCCAATCACGATCAACCCAATGTGTTGCTACAGAGTACGACATAGGGTTTTACAGGGGCATGCAGTCACGATGTAGCTATGGTGTAGATGTCCTGCTGAAGGATAAATCTCCAATCAGGTGATCATGCAGGATACATCAAAATAAGTTATATAATCTGAAAGGGTCTGATACTCCTTCAAGGCCAATATAATTTTTTTTAATACAGTCATATTATAACCAAAAACTGCCTTTTTAAAGTGTTTTCCAGGTAAAAACACATCAAACATGTGAGATATTTGATTACTCTATGTCACAGACATTTGATTATTGCAGTTTTTACCTGAAACTATGATTTATCCCATTATATTCCAAGTTTCTTATAGAGAGTGTGCACGTGTATTCATTTATCCTTACTAACAACATTTTTTATTGTCACACGTTGTTGATTATTCATTTGTGGCGTTCCATATCCAATGTTCCCCTCATAACATGGATGAGCAGTGATTCTCTCGTCTCATCTTTACTTTTTAAAATTTCATGTATTGGCCTTTATAAGTCTAGATAGCCAGGACTCGCAAAATCGCTAGCCCGACGTCCCGGGGCTAGCGATTTTTCCAGTCGGGCTACCAAAATCTATCTCAGCCCTGCCCGTCGGGCTATCACAGGAAAATATATGTCAGTGCTTTTGCATTCTTTCGAAAATGTCACTGTCAATATGTGACATGTTGAAATCGCGTTTGAATTTGCGCTTGTTTTTTTGCTTTCACTTTGCGATCGCGTGAACAGTGTGTAAAGAGCGGCAGCACTGATTGGTGAGTGACGATTAATTGCGCACCAATTCCTCTGACATCGTCTTATCAATCGTTAGCTTACTATTCAAACGTGACAAGTGAAATCTCCCACAGCAAGCTTAAACATGTGAGAGACTGATTGCGCAGAGAATCGCTGAAAAGCAGCAGGATTTAAGCCGGTATTTTAGTTCTGCTCAGCCAAATAAGACAGGTCAGGGTGAAGAAGGGACAGGCAAAGAAAAGC